AATCCTAAAACTGCCCATGAGGTGGGTGCTATTGTCCCCTTCACACATGAAAACCGAGGCCCAGAAATATCAAATAATACCGTATTCTAAACATCACATAATTCACACTAGCTAAATCTAAACCTACTATTCTCATTACAGAACCTTAAAGTCTTACAGGGAGCAGGAAGTATATTTTTACACTTCTTGTTTCCATGGAAAATTCTTTCCACTGTCAACCGGAGGACTACGAAGCCGTGGGGGAAATGCTAGCCCAGGCGGTGTGAGCTTTCTCCTCCTCTCTCTGATCTAGGCAGGGTTTGGGTTTCAGACCTCGGCTCTCCTATGCGTTGTGGGCTGTAATTACTTAGATTCGCGTCGCCCGATTCATAAAGGATTGAGGGAGGGAGGGAGGGAGGGAGGAAGGGAGGCGGAGCTTGTTCCAGCAGTCCCCACACCCCGCAGACGGCAGGAGAGGGGGAGGGGGAGGGAGCTAGAGATGTTTTACAACCTGGCCTTTCAGCGGGTTTGGTGGCGGATGCTTCTTGCCTTTGATTAGGCTGAGCGTGTGTAATTCTACAATCTGCTCAGTCCTGTCACACACACACACACACACACACACACACACACACACACACACACACACACACGAAGAAAGGGCAGATGGGAGATGGAGAGATGAAATGGTTGCTCAAACCGAAGAAGGCTCCAATGAAATCGGAGCTGCTTAAGGGCTGCGGCGGCTGGCTCGGGTCGGGAGAGCAGTCAAGGGAGGGGCTGAGGCAGCGGTCCCTGCTCAGAAACCAGGATGTTCACTCGCAAACCCAGAATCTGCAGAGCCTTCTGTGTCCTGCCTCTTCCCAGCGTCGCCAGAGGCAGAGCATCTGCGCCCCAGAACCGGCATCCAGGGGAGCTGTCTGGCGGGGCGAGAGCGGCGGTCATCCTTTAAAAGCCTTCGCTGGCTGCACCAACCGAGCAGAGCGGGCGGTGGGCGGGCTCCAGAGTGCTGTCTGGCAAGATAGTAGTTCCCGGCTTTAATCAAAATGATGAGTTTTCTGGAAGCTCTTTATTAACGTTAGCCCCCAAATCCCCGAGACGGTAACAAAGGGATGAATGAAGAGCGAAGGGGAGGGGCTGGAACCTGCAGACTGAGCGGTGTTTTTCCTGAGCTTGTCGCTCGCACACACCCCTCCCCCCACCTCCGCTCCTTTCAACGGATCCAGCCCAGAGGGCTCCTGCCTGGATCCCTGTTTCCCACATGGTGATGAAACAGATATAATTACAGTAATTGCCTCATTTGTATAATGCTTCAGGGTTTTCAGAGAGCCTTCACATACAGCTCAGGATGTGGGTCTCCTAACTGAAGGGAGGTTGCCAGATCTCACTATTTAATAACCATGTGACATTGGTCCTTAGTCTTTTTATATATAAAACAGATATACCTATAAAACATGCCTGGGTAATGGCAATATCTACTTCCTACGGTGAGGAGCGAGAAACTATATCGCATGCAGATCTGCTCAACCCGGGGCCACACAGAGGAAGGGCCCAGTAAACACTAACTACATCCATAACCTTGATGTAGACAGAAGGGTGAGCATCTTCATTTTGTGAATAAGGAAACAGGCTCAGAGATATGTATGTATGTGGCGCAGGACTATATACTATCGAGTCGCAGAGCCAGGGCAGGCCCTCACATTCCGAAGAGCAAAGCAACACAAAGAGAGGAAAAGAGAGGAAAATACCCTCCGTCAGTAGCCCTTCTAAGAGCTTTCCTGACAGTAAGCTCCGTGGCCAGAATGACTTGGTGTTGCTGTGTCAGGGGAAGTTATTTCACATCAGAGAAGCCTCCCCTGGCCTTAGCTGATTGTCCAGGGCAGTTCAGAACAGGGGTGAGTTTACAAATCTGGCACATACTTCACAATCTTCAGGACCTTCCCTGGCATTGGCATTGGCAAAGCCTCCAGCCCAATCATTCCCAGTCACGGAAGATGAACTTCATCTGAGCTAGTTTAGCAAGACAGAGGAAAGTTGGGAATGATGCCAAGAATGCCCTGGGCAGTGCCTAAGGGAAATGCCCACACTGGATTACAGGATTAAGTGAAGTGGTCAGCTACCTCCAGAGGGCAGTTCTATATATATGCTGTTCTGATTTTAAAATGTATTCCTAACTGTTGTGGAAAAATAAAAAAGCAAAACCATTTACTATGATGATCATATTTTATTAAAAATTTAAAATCCTATTGGGTTGTAATCTGAATGTGAGGGATCCACACCTGCTTGATGAGTGTCTGAAATCCTCGAGGAGTCTAATCGATCCATTCATTTGTGTCTTGACTGCTTGCTTTTCAGCCCTGTCTTTGTCTGCCTGTGAGTTAGGGCCTGGGAGCAGAGGGGAGGAGACTTGTGGGAGGTCCCAGGATGGGGGAAGGGAGGCAGCAATGAAGGAAAAAGCATTCCCTTGATTGACCTTTTGCTGGGATCGGAGGTGCTGGGCCAGGGTTAGGGGCATAAAAGGTGTGTCTCTCTCATCTTTTTCTGAGGGGAGTTATCTCATTGATTCTGCCCAGAGTCACAGCTATAGGCAAAGCTGGTCCAGGGTTTCAGTGCTCTTGACCAAGGGACTCAGATCAGAAGGTCAGTAAATGTCAAATCCTTAAGCTATTATTTTACCTGAAAGAGCCATCAGAGGTGTTTGCTTATTCATCAGCCAGAACAGGTTAGGCATAATGGTCTGTGAGGGGTTAGGGTTAGGGTTAATTCTGCTCTGCAGAAGCAACTGAGTGGCCATCTCATTGCTTCTTGGAGTTTAGGTTGAATCAGACCCAACTCAGACTCCCAGCAAAGCACAGAGAAGCTCAGTGACAGGTAAAATTGCTCATTAACTCTTAGTGGTCCTGCTGTGAGAGGCTCCCTCCGCCAACAGGCATGGCCATTAATGTTCCTCAATTCTGCAAGATAAAGATATCTCAGAGCTCTGCATCTCCAGATGGCAGTCCTGAAGGCCACATGCAGAGTTCTGCGTATGGTTGGAAATAAATTTCCATCCTGGGCTCCTGTAAGAGCAATAAAGGACCGAGGAGTAGTGAAATCCAGTTCCCCCAAATGCCAAATCAGAGGCTTCTAAATACATTTCCCACTTTTGTCTTAGTCTGTCAGAGTCAGGGCCTGTGTTTGAAAGGTAAACAGGCAGATCCTGGCAGAGATCAAGTGCAGATTTGATTACAGATGAATCAAAGGAAGTAGCCTCTGAGAATAGATATCTATTGCCTCTGTCCAAAGAGCTATTGTGGCAGTGAGCTCTGGCAAGGGAAGCCTGGTGTAGGGGAAAGAGTTTAAGGGAGAAAAGAAAGTTTCTTACTCCCTCCCCCCTCAGCTTGCTGGTATTTGAATTACATTTGCAACACTCTTACCCAGAGAGCTCCACAACTCCAGCAAAGGAGTTGCGCCAGCTATAAGAACACTGCTGTGATGTCAAAGGTTCCAATGTCATGGCCACCGAGATCACTTTGTGTAGACAGTCCATTCCTCTTCCTCTCTCGCTCTGAACTCTCCCCTTCTAGAAGTCATGGGTGTACTTTACGGTGTGTCTTCCAACTAGACTCTGGGGAAAGTCTTGCATTGAAAACCCTTGTGGACGCACAATCACTTCCCCAAGTCTCAGCGTAAATTTAATCTCCTTCTCTGGCATCTCTTTTGACTTTCTCAGGTATAATTAATAACCTTCTCCTCTTGAGTCCTATAATACTTTCCATGTACCTTGGTTGTTACAGTTACCAAATTGGTTTATAATTGCTTAAGTGTAAGTTCCATCCAGACTGTAAGCACATTGAGGGAGGGGACTGGACTTGGCAAGTGAGGTTGGCTCCCAGTGCTTTATCCAAACAAGCAGGCCTGGTTTACAATGGAATGCCATTCTCTTATGCCGTGTAGTGTCCCTCCATGCCCACACGTACTACTATTCCCATCCGTCCTCTGCTTCATGTCACCACCCCACAGGTTATTGTGATAGAATTAGGATCAAATACAGTTGACTTTTGAACATGCAGGATTGAACACATGGGTTCACTTATATGTGGATTTTTTTTCAATAAGTAAATATAATGTTGTAAATGTAGTTTCTCTTCCTTATATTTTTCTGAATAACACGTTCTTTTCTCTGGCTTAATTATAAGAATACATTATATAACACATATAATGTACAAAACATGTGTTAATACACTGTATATGTTATTGGCAAGGCTTTCAGTCAACAATACTAATAGGCTATTAGTAGTTAAGTTTTTGGGGAGTCAAAAGTTAAATCAGGGTATCTGAATTTTTACTTGGGGGGGGGGGTGTTCAGGGCCTTTAACAACTCCATGTTGTTTAAGGTTCAAATGTAATTAATTTAACTACATTTATCTCTTCTTTTTTTTTTGACAGAACAGGTGTCAAAATATATTTTGTAGCTGAAGTTTTCTTGAATTCATACACTAAAAGTAACATATTCTGCTTTTTTTTTTAAAAAAAAAAACATTCTAAACTGCATCATGTATTTTTTTTTAGGTGTCTTTTCCCCATTAGCTGAAGACAATTAAAGCATTTTGAATACAATTGCAGACAAGGTTCCAAAATCCCCTATCAGTTCTTAAATCCAGATGATGCAGAATCTTATCATATCAGCTGCCTTTTAAGTTACTGCCATTATTAGAACCTGTATTTTTTTAAAATTCTGACAGAACTTGGAGACTCTGGCAGTCCTTAGACTGGTTAAGAAACAGTAGTGTGGTACCTGAGATCCGGTGAGATTCAGGTATTTCGGTTTGTGAGGTAACTACAAGAAAAAATGTCCCAGGGTATCCGATTGCTCCAGGGAATGCCCCGTTTACAGTAGCTTGACCTCAGGGTGTTTTTCCCGCCCCCCTCTTTTTCTTGGTGGCCAGGCCTGTCTGTGTAGCTTTTCCTATATTCTACCCACTAATGTGGCATGGGAGGCACGTGTTGACTCTCTTACTGATTTGTGATATTTTGTCTTTCAGAACCCGAGGCAGGAGAGGTGTCCCCTCCAGTCGGTGCTGGTGTCAACAGCAACAGCTGGACCTTTAAATACGGACCAGGCAACCCCAAACAGTCTGGTCCCAGTGAGTTGCCAGACAAATTCATTATCCCAGGATCTCCCGCCATCATCTCCATCCGGCAGGAGCCCGCCAACAGCCACATTGACAAAAGTGACTTCATAACCTTTGGCAAAAAGGAGGAGACCAAGAAGAAGAAGAAAAAGAAGAAGGGTAACAAGACCCAGGAGAAAAAAGAGAAAGGGAACAGCACGACCGACAACAGTGACCAGTGAGGTCCTGTCCTGGAAATAAGCCACTTAGCCAGTTTTTGTGATAATGGCAACTCTCTCCCGTGTAGCAACTCCCCCACCTCTCTCTTACCCACCCTCTCAATAGACCTCAGAAATCTGCAGGAAGTTCCCTGAGTGTGTCTAGATCTCATTTGACAGGTTTTGTCTGAAAAGCTTGACTAAGTCTGGTGTTAACTCTCTCCACTCTGGCTTGTTTTCAGAACCTAAAAAGCAGACCCAAGTTTCCTTTCTCCTCCGCCATAAAGGAGAGGCTTCCCAGCCCCTCCAGTGAGAGGTTGGACTCTCTGCCCTGAGCTCCCAGGATCCTGCCTTGATGACACTTGCAGGGCAGGCGGAAAGGTTTTAAGATTGAGCAGCTTGTGGCCATTAGGCATGTGTGTGAGCACCACATTGGCTGAGATGGGCCAGATTAAACTAGTTGGTGAAAGGAGGGGCTGGGAAACAAAGGCAAATCAACCCTGGGAATTACCAGTCAGGAGGGGAAATGCGAAATTTAAAAGGAACCAGACTTTCTAAATCTTACAACTCAAGAGGTGGTGGCCACCTTCTATCAGCCAAAACTGCCCTCAGGGACAAGGCTTTAGCAGTCCCTAAAGTCTGTTGGCTGTGATGTTATTATACCTAAAACCTGAATTGTATCTGTAAGTCAACAGTTCAGTGTGTAGCAGGGGCCAGCCAGGGCAACAGAAGCAGATCTGATGTGTTTCCTGTACATGTCCTTGTGATCACTTTATTAAAAATTCTTTTGCACACGGTGTTTATGAAAAGGCCTGGTCCCTTTCCAATAGCACATATGCAAAAGCAAAAGAAAAAACGAAAACCCCAACACCTCACTTGATGCTGTTTGTTGTTTGATAGATTTATTTAAAACAGAGAAAATCTATAGCTATAAGTCTTTAAAGAGAGCTATGAAGACAATTCCCCTAAACTCGCCTCAAAAAAAAAAAAAAAAAGAATTCAGACTACAGCCATTTAAATGATCATTGCTGCTACAGAAGTGCTTTAAGAGAATTGCCTGGAACATCTGTATTATACCGGCCACCTGCCAATCACAGCTTTACTCTTTCAGGTCACTCTGGGGCTGCCTCTTGCATGTATTAATTACTAAATAAAAGGATCTTTCTCTCTCTCTCTCTTTTCTAAGAAACAATTATGTGCACTTTGAATACACAACCTTGTCTAGCCAATAACTCTATCAAGACCCAGAAATTGAAGAAAAATATTGTTTACTCATACACACAGTGAACAGACTTTGCAATCCTCTGATTCTGTGATTTGTCTTGGTGCGCTAGCCTACACCTTCTCTTTGGTTTGTTTACCTTTTCTATTAACACTCTGAATTGCTAACCTTGCTAACACCTATGATGTTACCTGAGATCAATCTCCCATATGTATGCTGTATGCTATTATAAGACTCCTGAAATATACCTACTCTGTGCTTGTGTATGTGAATGTTAATGCAACTATTACCTAGAGTGAACTTTAAGCTTTATTGTTGAATGTAATTCCATCATATTTCCTTTTGTACACCTGTGGAAAAGTGAACTAATGTTTTTTTTAACCATTGTTAATCAGCTTTTGTGTATGTAAGACACAGTAAAATTTATTTCTTAAATCAAGATATTGGTGATTCAAGGAATTTTATTTATGGTCAGCCAAGAGCTGTCTCTTGCCAAGACTCCTGCTGGCAAGGGAATGGATAAAGCTGTTTTTTTCTAGTAACAATTCCGGGGTGAATACTGAAGATATCCCCTGAGGGTATGCAAGCACAAAATTTACCAATCTGACCTCTTTCAAGTTGCAGACTGCTTTGAAATTCTAACGATGTCTGGAATATCAGCTCATAGAGAATAATAAAATTTACTGTCAACTTCAATAAGATATGTTGATTTTGTTAAAATGTACAATTTAGAAGTTTGAGTAATTATATTTTAAAAGTTAACATAAAAGAGGTAGGAGTCTGTTATTAAAACAAAAGCAGTAAGTCTTTAAAAAAAAATCTGTTTTCTCTACTTTCAGCTTCATTCTCCCATGTTTTGAAGGGTGTGTAACTTCAGCTCTGCAGGATTGCATGGGGTAAAACTTGTTGCCAACACGTCTGAACCATTGCTACATTGTAGGTTGTGATCATTTTGCCCCACTGAAACCCATGTATCTGACCTTACGTGCCTTTTGAATACTAGGAGAATCGGGCTAATTTATTAATGATGATAATGATAATGTATCTGTACAGCACTTTTTACCTTTGCAAAGTGCTTTCCAATCCATGTTAGTTACTAGTTATTACAGCTGTAAGGATAAAACACGTCATGTGGATTCATTTTTAATTGGTGCTACTGGTATTTCCTCTGTTATTGCTAATAAATGGAAAATGGTGGTATGAAAGAAATGGTGGTCATTTCTAAGTATAAGAATAGGAGGAAATAGAAGACTGATTATCCTTAGCTGCTATTTTTGGGGAAAGTTGCAGTATGAAACTTACCATGTCACTCCTTGTCTATCTCCTTGGCTCTTATGTTCATTACGAAGGCACAACACCCAATGAAATCAATAACTGAATGCCACAGTATTACTCAAATGGGCAGCCAGAAGGTTTCTGGGTCGCTTCCCAGCACATTATGTCAGTCTTCTCTAATAAGAGTTGCAACAAACCAATTGTTATCACTAGAGCCCTCCAGTCATCTTGTTCATTATTTTTTTTAGCCCTGGCCCCCCAAAATAAACTTTTATTGAATACAGTGTATATGCCAGCCAGTGTAATAGGTAGTTCAGTTCATGGTACATGTTCTGTAACAAGTTGACTATCTTTTCCTTTTGTAATTAAATTTTCATGAGCATAAGTTTCACATGCAGTGATTCTCAACTGGGAGCAATTTTGCCCCTCAGGGAAAAATGCCTGGAGATATTTTTGGTTTTTTGGTACTTGAGTGAGAGTTGCTTCTGGCATCTAGTGGGTAGAAGCCAAGAGTGCTGCTGAACACCCCATAATATACAGAAAAGCCCCCAATAACAAATAATTTTTCAGCCCAAAAATTCAGAACCAAATTTGAGAAACCTTGTTTTAGAGTGACCGTATAATTTGTTGTTGAGTCCATTTAATAATTACTTCAGGATACAAGTAAACTGGGACCGTTCCAGGCAAACTTGGCTATATGGTGATTCTACTTACAAAAAAAGAAATAAACCACAATAGATCTGCTGCTTGCTAGCTGGGGGACCTTGGGCAAGAGACTCTGCTTTTCAGCCTCAGTTTCACCATTTCTAGCATAAGAATAATTATAGTATGGACCTTATAGATTTGTGGGGAAGATTTAGTAAGATAATCTCAAAGAGGTTTTAGGTGTCTGGCACACCATAGTTGTGAAGTCACTGCCAGCGTGGCCTGAGTTCAAAGACTTGGAGAAAGGGTTGATGCTCAAATTAATACACAAGACAAGTAATATAAATTTGGAAATTCTGGGGAAAGCCAGTTGTGAGCTTGGTACAAGGGACCAAGTTCCACTGAGTCTCCGTTCCCGTCTGCCTTTAATTTACTAGAATAAACAATTGCCTTTTAGGAATGCAAACAGACATATCAATGGTAATGATTAGTAAACAGTAAAGAGATCACCAGGTTTGGGGGGGGGGGTTGCCTTCGGCTATTGAATCAGCAGCAGGTAATAACAATGCAGACATTCATCCTTCTGCATTTCAAAAGCCCCATTCAGCCTTCTGAAGTACTTCTCTCATTTATACTAATTATTGTTGATCTTGGCTTCTGGCACATAGTGCTTAATCTATAGCTATTATTAACGAGGGTAAAATAATTCCACATAGACCATAAGAAAAATATTTTTACCCCTCTACTTTTTTGCCCATTCCTGAAGAAAAATAAGTAATATCAGTTTCACAACTCTTTACTCATTTCTATTATAAATAATAACCAGATCTCTAAGTAAGTAGCCAGGTTACCAGTCTTCTTATAGCTCTTCCACATCAATAATCAGACATCTGAAAGTCAGGGAACAAAGGTTTCTGCAGGTTCAAATGAATAGATTTCATGTGTGCACACTTACGGGGGAGATCAGGCCTAATTTTTCCTATATAAATGCTTATTTCTGTGTGAGGTGTATTTTTGTAGTTTATTGTTCATTTTTCTTATCATAGTTCACCATTCTTTTTAAAAATATATAGTTTATTGATTTTTTGTTTTTTTTATTATGTATTTATGTATGTATGTATGTATGTATTTATTTATTTTACAGAGAGGGAGGGAAAGAGAGAGAGCTAGAAACATCCAGGAGAGAGAAATTCCCATCAGCTGTCTCCTGCACACCCCCCAGTGGGGATGTGCCTGCAACCCAGGCACGGGCCCCTGACTCGAATCAAACCCAGGACCCTTCAGTCCACAGGCCGACGCTTTATCCACTGAGCCAAACCGGTTTGGACACATTAAACTTTTTTATGCATATTACAAAATTGGCCCTGGAACTACAGTATACTCCTACCAATAGTTTATGAGAATTTCTACACCTTGCCTAACAATGGATATTATCTGCCATTATTATGAAAATATGATAAGCAAAGCATTGTGGTTTAATTTGTGTTTAATTACCATAAGTTGCACAATTTTTTTATTTTTTTCTATCAGAAGATTATAATTATGGCACGTTACAGAGTTGTAGTGTAAACTATAACAGTTGGCTTATCTTTTTGTAATGCAAGTGCCTGACTTAAGCGTCCATTGGCAAAGCAAAGCCACTTCAAAGATGGCTATCTCAATAAACACATTAGCAGCCACTTGACTTGATGAAGAACCAGGCCACGCCCGCCCCCCCCCCATACCTTCCAGCCCCCAGGCTCCTCTGTTTCAGAGATTTCAGTAACTGACCCTTTGATTTGGCCCACTTGCCTTTTCTCTTCTTTCACTTTAAATAGTCTCTAACGTTTTAAACTCACCAATAAACAGTGAGCCCATGAAGCCCTAGGCCCTCACCTGCAATCTCAATAAAAGCAGAACCCCAGGCCTGTGCTCTCTCCCGCTCCCTCGCGCTCTCTTTCTCTCTTCCCTTTTCCTGCAACCTCCATGTGGTCCCAGGTGCGCTGTATAATTTACAGGATCTGTAAGTAATACTCCCCTTCCCAAAGTTTCCTGATGGTTATTATTGAGGGCATCTTGTTATTATAAGAACCACAAGGGCCGGCCCAGCCACAACTTTGGTTACCGTGTTTTCCAGCGGATAAGACGACCCCCTAATTTTACAGTTAAAACATAGATTTAGGCCTATATTCGCTGTATAAGACTACCCCCCACTTCAAAGAAAAGACTTACTTTGCCGTCAAGATCTGCAGGTAATTTTTGTGCAATTTTGGTCTTTTGCCCCCGATTTTCGGTTGACTTTTTTTTCGGTTCAACGTCGTCTTATACGCCGGAAAATATGTATTGATGGGTTGAGACTGGCACACAACAGGTGTCAATTATTTACCAGAATACAAGATGCCTTGAAGTCTGAGCAGCAAGTTTGGCTTTAAAACAGCGTGAAAAATTGATGGTGTTGTTTGGCTCAGTAGATATATTAAATAGAGTGTGTGATCTCAGAATCAATGTTCAGTCCATATATTTGTGCAATGGATCATTACTGTAATAGATGCAGACTTGACATTTCAGTGGAAGGAGCATTAAGCCTGTGTCCCACAGGGCTTGCTAGGTCAGAAGCTTAGAACCCATTGAGTATAGTGGGCCAGTTGCCTTGCTCTAGAGTTGAATTCTTCAGTCTTCATAGTGACTTGAGACTAAACTAGAGCATTCAAGGTTTTCCTGAAAAGGAGCCCACATGTAATTGTTTAGAAGTTTCACTAACTCCCTCAGGCCTGGAACCTGTCCTGTGTGGATCTTAGATTTATTGAAAGAATAGGTAATGTGTGTAAATAATAAGAAAGTGAATTTTGTTTAAATCATACACCAGGAGAGATAACTGATTTAAAAGAATATCTGTAAAGATCTTAGGACAGAGGAAGTTTTTAATAAATGTGAGCCATTTAAAAAAAAAACTGACACACCGAAACCGGTTTGGCTCAGCGGTAGAGTGTCGGTCTGCGGACTGAAAGGTCCCAGGTTTGATTCAGGTCAAGGGCATGTACCTTGGTTGCGGGCACATCCCCAGTAGGGGGTGTGCAGGAGGCGGCTGGTCGGTGTTTCTCTCTCATCGACGTTTCTGGCTCTCTATCTCTCTCCCTTCCTCTCTGTAAAATATCAATAAAATATATATATTTTTAAAAGTCCTTTAAAAAATAAAATAAAAAAACATGACAAAATGGCACCTGAACCCATTTTTAAAAATTAATTTCTGTCTTCTCTTTTCCTCCCAACTCTCCAATTCATCCTCTTTCTCATGTGTTTTCCCTTCCCTCTAATTCTTTTTATTCCTCCTCAACATTCCCCCCCTCCTCTTTCTCTTCCCTCTGTTCTTTTTCCTCCTTCCCATACAATCTTTATTAAACCCTTACCCATATTCTCATTTCTAATAAAAATCAGGTTATAGTTAAAACTCTCACCCAGCTGGGTGGCTCTGTGGTTGAGCATTGAACTAGGAACCGGGAAGTCATGGTTCGATTCCCAGTCAGGGCACATGCCTGGGTTGTGGGCTCGATCCCCAATGTGGGGTGTGCAGGAGGCAGCCAATCAATGAATTTCTCTCATTGTTGATGTTTCTATCTCTCTCTCCCTCTCCCTTCTTCTCTGAAATCAATACAGATATATTTAAAAAATAAAACTCAATAGCAACTCAGAAAGTCAACATGTTGCAATAAATCATTTACATAAAGTGAATCTACATAATATTTACTTGGGTTAAAATTTAATTTTTCCAATTAAACAAATTTCTTAGGGCATGTTGAATGTATTATTTTCTCATATTTGCATGCTTTAACAGTAAGTTAAGTTGATTTTCTGCCTTACATTTAAAGGTTTTCAAAGAACTTTTAACTTCAAGAAAACATGCACATTATTGGCTACTAGTCAGAAAGGGAGATGTCCAGAAAGAGTTGGTCACTTGCAGATAACCATTCCCTTGTAATTAAAAAACAACAACATGCCGAGACCGGTTTGGCTCAGTGGATAGAGTGTCGGCCTGCGGACTGAAAAGTCCCGGGTTCGATTCCCGTCAAGGGCATGTACCTTGGTTGCGGGCACATCCCCGGTGGGGGACGTGCAAGAGGCAGCTGATCGATGATTCTCTCTCATCGATGTTTCTAACTTTCTATCCCTCTCTCTTTCTCTCTGTGAAAAATCAATAAAATATATTTTTAAAACACACACACACACCAAAAGTAATATAATTTTGTATTTCTTTTTCACTTCATTCCCTCAGGGCTAATAACTTGATCTTTACTTATTTATCACAGTC